CTATTCTATTCTATTCTATTCTATTCTATTCTATTCTATTCTATTCTGATTTTAATTAAGTGAGTCTGGTCTTCCACATTGACTCTGCTTGTTGGAAGCCAGCTAGGAAGGTTACAAATGGTGATTCTGTGATCCCAGGACATGGTCTGAATTTTGTTCTGGTGACCATGGGAATGCTGCAACCATCATAAGTGTGAAAAACTATCTTAAGTCCCTTTTTTCAGGGCTTTTCTAACTTCGAACAGTCACTAAATGAATAGTTATAAATTCATACCTGCGTGTGAAGCCCTTGCATTGCACAGAGTAGCAGAATTTCTCGAATATCCATAGAATAGATTTTAAAAATTCTGTTCTCTTATATCCGTGTTGGTTGCCCCAAGGATTACACGAGGTTTAAAAAGTTCCCATTTCTGGCTGAATATTGTCCTGTATTCAAAGCCAACTATGGACAAAAAGCTGTAAAACAACACAATATCATTTAATGGTCTCCTCCTTGAGCTGGTGGATTGGACTAGAACAGGGGTCGCCAACCTTTTGGACCTCAGGGACCACCAAACTCATCATTTTAAATCCCATGGACCAGAAACCCTGGGAAAATCCCCCAAAAATCTGTAGGAAAATTGCCCACCCTGTTTTCCTACCGATTGATCATTCTTTATTTGGGATCGCAGGATACCGTCTCCAGCTCCATTCTCAGGGAGAGAGAGAGAGACTTTTGGCTTCATGCAAGGAAAGCAGCAGAAGCCGCAGAAGTCTTTCTTTCTCTCCCCCAAACTCCGCCAGGAATGAGTCTTTGTGAAACTTGTCATGCCGGCGCAGACTCTTGGAGCAGGAGGCCTTGCAGGGTCCCAAAGACTCACTTCTGGCGGAGATTTTGGGGGAGAGAAAGAAAGACATTTGTGGCTTTCCTTGCATGCAGCCAAAAGCAGAAGAAGAAAGAAGCAACCTGGTGGACAGGCAAGGTGCGTGAGGTGTGTGGGGCAAGTTCCCCCCTCTGTCCTTTCCTCCCTCCCCTCACTACCTTGTGTTGTTCAACGCAAGCTTTGTGTTCCCGTTGGGCACGTGGTCAGGCAGCCTTGTGTTCCCGCCCAACCTGGTTTAATTGCTTTTGGGGGTGACATTTCTCTGCGGACCACCAAAATTTTCTCACGGACCACCAATGGTCCCCGGCCCACTAGTTGGCAACCACTGGACTGGATGACCTCCAAGGTCCCTTCCAGCTCTATTCTGATTGGTTGGGTTGGATGGAGGAGCTGCTCATTTGGGTTACGGAAGTGGCCCGCAACACGAACTCCATTCTTCAATCTGTTTTTCTTAACCGATATTCTTTGCCGCATGGAATCGGCCTATTTCCCTGCATTGAAGGCGAGACCCCCTCAAAATCAGCGCGAGGAAGATGGGAAACAGGAAAACAGTCCCTTTACCAGATGCCAAAGTTCACGGGAAACTATCCAAGCTCAGCTTCCTAGTCGTGAGATTGCAAATCCGATGGCCACCTCTTGGATGTACAGTTTTCCCAAACGTCTCTCCTCTGGGGAATAAGATAGAGAAGGAGCGAATAACGGGGCTTTAAGCGTCAGGGCGTCGCGCTGCGAAATTGTAATGGTTCTCATTTCAAGTTTCGAGCTGTCAGTTTGGTAAGCGGAACAATACTTTTGATTTTTTGAATCAAAACGAGATCGGGAAAGGTTTGGGCAGGGCTGGCTTTTTCAATTGGTCTGTCTGGGGTCAGATTTTCAAAGTCACCCTTCCCCCAGATACAGATTAACAGAGTTGGAAGGGACCTTGGAGATCATGTAGTCCAATCCCCTTGCCCAAGCAAGAGACCCTACACCATTTCTGACAGAGGGCAGTCCAGTCTCTTCTTGAAAGCCTCCAGGGATGAAGCTCCCACAACTTCTGAAGGCAACTTCTGTTCCATGGGTTGATTGCTCTCACTGTCAGGAAATACCTCATTATTTCTAGATTGAAACTCTCCTTGTTCAGTCTCCATCCATTATTCCTCGTCTGGTTTACAGGTGTCTTGGAAAATAGCTTGACCCCCTTCCTTTCTGGGGCAGCCCCTGAGATATTGGAAGACTGCTATCCTGTCTCCCCTGGTCCTTCTTTTCCCTAGACTAGCCATGCCCAGTTCCTGCAACCGTTCTTCGTATGTTTTAGCCTCCAGTCCCCTCATCATGCTGGTTGCTCTTCTCTGCACTCTTTCCAGAGTCTCAACCTCTTTTTGATAGTCTGGTGACCAAAACTGGATTCAGTATTCCAACTGGGGTCTTATCAAGGCATTATAAAGTTCACTTTAACAGATTAACAGATCTGGAAGGGATCTTGGAGGTCATCTAGTCCAACCCCCCACCCAAGCAGGAGACCCTACACCATCTCTGACAGTCTCTTCTTGACAGCCTCCAGGGATGAAGCTCCCATAACTTCTGAAGGCAACTTCTATTCCATGGGTTGATTGTTCTCACTGTCGGAAAATTCCTCCTTATTTCCAGGTTGAATCTCTCCTTGATCAGTTTCCATCCATTATTCCTTGTCTGGCCTTCAAGTGCTTTGGATAATAGCTTGACCCCCTCCTCCTCTCTGGGGCAGCCCCTCAGATATTGGAAGGGCTGCACTCCTGTCTCCCCTGGTCCTTCTCTTCCCTAGACTAGCCAGGCCCGGTTCCTGCAACCGTTCATCGCATGTTTCAGCCTCCAGCCCCCTCATCATCCTGGTTGCTCTTCTCTGCACTTTTTCTAGAGTCTCAACCTCTTTTTTATAGCGTGGTGAACCTCAAATGGGTCCCAGGCGAAAGACGTGGATTTAGCCTGAAATAAGGGACTGTATCTCCATATTGAAGCGGTACGCTAAGTAAGAGGCATCTGATGTATGTTTCTGAACATTTTTGTGAAGAGGGATTGTGTTAAATTTCCAAGATAATCTTTCCTCACACAAGAAGCTCAGTGTGCTCTCACTCGGAGACTATTTTTGCTGCCTCTCGACAGAGATAATGCCATTTCTAGATGTAATAAACTCCAGAGTTCCCAGATTTTGCCGTTCAAGAGTTGTTCTAATATCATGTGTTTATTTATTTTTTTCTTGCGGTAATAATAATAATTTCTTTTTTTTCTTCTTCAAGATCTTTCCTATTTTGAAGCTAGTTTTCTACAAGTGGAGCCTTTATGAGGGCCACGCTTTCTGAATGGTTGTTTCGTTTTCTTCTTGTTTTGCAGCATGCTACAAAACGCGTGAGATGGGGACTGCTGTGTAGACTTTACAAAAATAAATAAAATCACTATATTTATATATTTCTAAAACTGTAACCTATAACTGGGTGAAACAGTGCATCATACTGCAATATATTTTTGATCCCATATATCTCAAATGGGCTAACTGAAGCCGTATCCAAAATCTGGGCCCCTGACTCCTTCTAATTTTGCTTCTTCCTCTCCTTCTCCTCTCCTTCTCCTTCTCCTTCCCCTCCTCTTCCTCCTGCTCCTCCCTCGTGTCGGGGGGAACCAAGCACCAGACAAAACGGTGTTCCAAGCTCCATTTTGGGTTGCGACAGCCTCCAGCAACCCTCTGCCAGCAAAAACAGAGCTCCGTTTTGGCTGGAAGAGGCTCCACGGGCCAATCCTTCGCTGGTTTTCCAGGGTGGCCCCTGCGGGACATATCTGGCCCCTGGGCTTTGATTCTGATACCCACTCCTTTAGGGTCCCCTGCTTGAATGGAAGGTTGGACTGGTGGACCTCCCAAGGTCCCTTCCAACCTTATTCTTCGGTGTTCTATTTATCTCACGAGTTCTGATCTTCCAGAGTATTTAAAAGCCAGACTATTCGTTTTGCAAGCCAACATGTCTTCTTCTTCTTCTTCTGTTGCAGGTTTTCAGTCACTTTCTCATCTGTCTTCCTACGAAATTATGGTCCCCGAGAGGATAGAAAAAGAACAAGAAAGAGAACAGGCCCAACATTTAGAGGTATGTAAGCATGGGGGAACTTCCATAACCAAAATAAGGAATTAGAATAGGATACAATAGAATAGAATAGAATAGGATAGAATAGAATAGAATAGGATAGAATAGAATAGAATAGAATAGAATAGAATAGAATAGAATGGAATGGAATGGAATGGAAGGGAAGGGAAGGGAAGGGAAGGGAAGGGAATGCAGAATAGAATAGAATGGGATGGGATGGGATGGAAGAGAAGGGAAGGGAAGAGAATGCAGAATAGAATAGAATAGAATGGAATATCAGAGTTGGAAGGGACCTTGGAGGTCTTCTAGTCCAACCCCCTGAATAGGCAGGAAACCCTACATCACTTCAGACAAATGGTTATCCAACTTCTTTTTAAAAACTTCCAGTGTTGGAGCATTTACAACTTCTGGAGGCAAATTGTTCCACTGATCAGTTGTTCCCACTTTCAGGAAATTTCTAGGTTGCTTCTCTCCTTGAGGAGTTTCCACCCGTTGCTTCGTGTCCTGCCTTCAGGTGCCTTGGAGAATAGCTTGACCCCTTCCTCTTACTTTGGGGCAGCCCTACAAATATTGGAACCCTGCTATCATAGCTCCCTTAGAGTCCTTCTTCTCATCAAACTAGGGATACCCAGTTCCAGCAACTATTCTTTATAAGTTTTAGCCTCCGGTTCCCTCATCATCCTGGTTGCTCTTCTCTGCCCTCTTTCTAGAGTCTTAATGGATTAATGGGAATGTTTTGTGCAGATGTTTGGAAGCTACCACCTATGACAAATACTACGGTCTCTGTATTGCATTTTTCAAGGTGGTTGTAGAGAGTGAGCCGGGCAGAGGAAATGTTTGCCAGTGGCCTTCTTGTGCTAGAACTGAAGGTTGTATATAGGGATGTTGGGGGCATCCTATACATTTGCAGGGCGGCCTCGCTTGCCTCACAAATTGGTCGTGCCAACCTCATCCAACCTTCATCCATTGAAGTGTTTCTCAACCTTGCCAGCTCAAAGGTGTCTGGACTTCGATTCCCAGAATGCTGGCTGGGGAATTCTGGGAGTTGAAGTCCACACTTCTTCCAAGTTGAGACGAAAGACAAGTTGAGAAACACCGCTCCGCTCTCTGGAATATAGTTCTGTCGGCTAGGCCTTTGGTTCCTGGGGAATGATGGAAATGGTTATTGGCATGAAGAAACCTACTCTTTATCATCTTGAAAATCGGCCCAGAAATGTATCTCTTGGCAAAGAGTAGAACAGCAAATAACAATTGTGATGACCCAGGGTGTAACACAAACGTAACAAAATCCAAAATGTAATGGTCTTTTAATGCCTCCAACTGGGCCTCATTGTTCACTAATTCTCAGTTGGGGATAAAACGTATTCAAAAAGAGTCTTCAAAAGAAAGCCATACAGTCCGAACTTAATGAGCGGATAGAGGTGAAATAAAAAACCCAAAGCAAACTACAAAGAAGGAAATTCCACAACGGACCAGGATAAGTAATTATCAACTGCAAGGAGATAACAAGGCAGAGTCTGTTGGAAGGACGCCAACCAAGATAACTTCAGCCCAAAATAAAACACGCTTTGCTTCTGGCAACGCTGTGTTTTAACCGTCTCTCTTATATAGTAGTCTCCCCAGATGCAATCAATGAGGGGGATCATGGCCGCTTCCTCTCCCGTAAGCCAAGTTGTTTCCTTCTCTGTTCCTCCCTGCATGTTCTAGGATGAAGAGGGAATGGGCCTGGTTTTTCCTCTGACTGCTCAGTCGGCCTCTGCCCTTCCCCAGCCTCCTCCACAACCTCCAGAGCCACACTTCCACTCCCTGTCGGCTGTTCCTCTTCTCCCTCTGAGTCAGTCTCCACCATGGGCATGACATAATCTACTGCAGCCTTAAGGTTTGCTGCACAATATTCATGTCTGATCAAATGATTTTGGGCTCCTCAGGCAAACAAAATTCCACAAAATGTCTTCCCCGATTCCTGCCATTTAAAAAAAATAAAAAATTGCGTTCGGCGACAATTACGCTCAGCCACTTCCAATGTTTCCTCGACACGTTGATCAATAGGAATTAAATTTAAAGGAAAGGGCTCCTTGTACCTCTGATAAACACAGCGGTGCCTGGCCTCCAAGGGAATGCTGCACACTTTCTTACAAAATTAAAAGTGATTGGCAGCTGCGACACAATGCTGTATTTCAAATGAAACCTCATTACGATCCTAGACCAAGGATCATGGCTCCCTACAGTCATGAGGGAGAAATACAACCGATATCAAGCCTACAATTTTTATCTGGTGGAACGTTAATTTATTCAGTTTAGGCCTTGCTTGACTCCAAATTGACCCCGGGCAGCATACAAGGTAATTAAACAAACTGTTCCGACCCAGCTCCCAAACACAACAAACCCTCTGTAGTTAACTAAATATTCCTTTTTATCAGAGGCGGCCAGCAGCCCCGGTAAAAAGTTTCTCTCTCACCGCAAGCTAACAAGTCCGTCCGGCAGGGAGATGAATACTTGTCTGCCACATCTATTCATCTCTTCCCCTCTGCCTTTTTTATCCCCAGAGCTAAGGTGGGGCCTTGGTAGCAGCAGTGGCTCTTCCATCCCAAGGACCGGCCCATAGATTTCCACTGCTCTCCTCTCCTCTCCTTCTGCGCATCTGTGTTTCAGGCACTGGAGCCAGCTGTTCCTCCTCTTCCTCATCAGCCACCTCCAGACCTGGGTGCTGTTGACTCTCCATCTGAGGGCTGATGGACGGCCCAGGCTCTGAGTCCATCTCTCTCTCCCTCCCTCCCTCTCTCTCTCTCTCTCTCTCTCCAGGTAAACAAGTCCGTCCAGCAAGGAGATGTCTGCCACATATATTCATCTCTGCCCCCTGCCTTTTATCCCCAGAGCTAAGGTGGGGCCTTGCTAGCAGCAATGGCTCTTCCATCCCAAGGACCGGCCCATAGATTTCCACTGCTTTCCTCTCCTCTCCTTCTGCGCATCTCTGTTTCAGGCACTGGAGCCAGCTGTTCCTCCTCTTCCTCATCAGCCACCTCCAGACCTGGGGCCTGTTGATTCTCCATCTGAGGGCTGACGGACAGCCCAGGGTCCGCCTCTGTCCCTGTCTCTCTCTCTCTCTCTCTCTCTCTCTGACACCTCCATTTCCTATTCGCCCTTGTAGCTCTCATGTTGCCTTGATCATGTTGCCTTGACCTGACTCTCTCACTGTCTCCTCCCCTGATTTGGCTGCTGGTGGGGCCGGCGGCCGACTGGCCACAACACAAACTGGAAAACAGAATATAATAAAGATGAAAAAGGAAAGCATTATATAAAAGGTTAAATATAAAAACCACATGAGATGTATGAAGCACCCCTCCCCACTATATATATATATATATATATACATATATATGTATGTATGTATGTATGTATGTATGTATGTAAAAGGAGGCATGAAATATTTATTAAATATTGCTGCTTGACTCCCACTGTTCATTAGTTTGGGACGGGGTCACTAAGTAAGATTGAAACACCCGCTAATATTGCTTTCTCCCTCTATGTTTTCAGGACCAGTTATCATTCAGGGTTACAGTTGAAGGAAAACCATATACCATTCATTTAAGAAGGCACAAGTAAGTGATTTCGTTCTGGCTGTATGTCTGTGGCGATTCTCAGTCATCCAGGTCATAGTAGTCTCAAAGGTGCTGGATTGTTCTTTTTTCCTTAAGGAAGAAGATGTTTTGCTTCTCATCCAAGAAGTCACAGTTGATGAAGCTTCTTGGACGAGAAGCGAAGTGTCTTCTTCTGTTGTGGCCCGCCACACTGGTGGCAGATTCAGATAGTGAGGAGGTTGGGGAGGACCATAGGCCAGTCCTGGGGTCTGGGGAAGACTCTGACGAGGGCTCTGCGTCGGAGGCAGAGATGGGGCCAGGGCCCTCTGACAGTTATCAGCTGCCTTTAGAGTTGGACATCAATGGGGAAGAAGAACAGCTGGAGCCTGTTCCCAGCGTGCGCATGTACAGAGCTGCCAGAAGAGGGAAACAGCTAAGGAACAAGGGCCGACTCAGGAGTAAAGCCACAAGTGGACAGTGAATGACCCCTCCCATAGGGAATAAAGAGGAGCGAAAGCAGTGTTCCAATATCTCAGGGGCTGCCCCAAAGAAGAGGGAGTCAAGCTGTCCTCCAAATCCCCTGAGGGCAGGACAAGAAGCAACGGGTGGAAACTAATCAAGGAGAGAAGCAACTTAGAACCAAGGAGAAATTTCCTGACAGAACAATTAATCAGTGGAACAACTTGCCTCCAGAAGTTGTGGATGCTCCAACACTTGAAGTTTTTGAAAAGCAACTAGATAACCCTTTGTCTGAAGTGGTGTAGGGTTTCCTGCCTAAGCAGGGGGTTGGACTAGAAGACCTCCAAGGTCCCTCCCAACTATTCTATTCTATTCTATTCATATTTTCAATGAACCTATTGATATGCTTCCAACTGCAGCTTACCCTGTTCCTAAGTCTTATTTTATTTCCACCCCTCAACCCTTATCCCATAGTGCTCTTTATGTAAAAAGTTACAGGTGATAGAAAAAGCCAGAGGTTTAGTTGGAGAGTAAAGGTCCATTTGTTCCCTCACAAATTCTTTGGCTGTGGTTGAGGTTTGGTCAGGTTTTTTTTTTTAACCGATGAACAGAGTCGGAAGGGAACCTTGTAGGTCATCTAGTCCAACCCCCCCACCCAAGCAGAAGACCCTTCACCATTTCTGACAGATAGCAGCCCGGTCTCTTCTTGAAAGCCTCAAATGAAGGTGCTCCCACAGCCTCCGAGGGCAACTTCTATTCCATTGGTTGATTGCTCTCACTGTCAGAAAATTCCTCCTTATTTCCAGGTTGAATCTCTCGTTGCTTTGGCTTTTTTGATGTTGTTGTTGTCCTTTAGCTCACATTTCTCTTATTTTGATTAAAAAAAAAAGCATTTTTGTTTGGCATTCATACCTTTCCCTCCTCCATCCTTTTAGAGATCTGGTGTCCCAAGACTTCACAATTTACACCTACGATGAAAGTGGAAATCTGAAAACAGAAACTCCAGATCTTCGGGTGTGTTTTGTATTTTTCTCTGAGGGTTGATAAGTTTTAAAAGAAAAATGGTTTCCAAGAATTGGCTCTGGCTGAGGGGGAAGATGGCCTGTCAGCCTTGGGGATGAGGACAGAAGGAAGGTTAGTGGTGGGCTTTCTCTACACTTACTTTGTAGTCCCTCTTTCGGTCTGTGGGGAGAGGCATTGAGTGCGTGTGCGCACGCATGAAGGTTCCCCATGCACCTCTGTGCTCATCGTTTACGGCTCTACGGGGCGGTGCTCCTCTCCATTTCAAAGCCGAAGAAGAGCCAGCGCTGTCCGAAGACGTCTCCGTGGTCATGTGGCCGGCAGGACTAAACGCCTTCGAAGGCGCATAGAACGCTGTTACCTTCCCACCAACATGGTCCCTATTTTTCTATTCGCATTTTTTTTTTACATGCTTTCGAACTGCTCGGTTGGCAGAAGCTGGGACAAGGGACGGGAGCTCACTCCATTACGCGGCGCTGGGGATTCGAACTGCTGAACTGCTGACCTTTCTTATCGACAAGCTCAGCGTCTTAGCTGCTGAGCCACCACGTCCCTCATATACGTGTGCAAAGAGAGGGATTTTTTTCCTTCTGCTTCTACTTTCAGTTTGTTAAGAGAGCGACTTAAGAAACGCTGTAGTAGAGAATATAAAAGAAATTCAGGGGGAAAGAATTTGATCTTGTCTTGCATATATTTAAGGATGAGGGGACAAGGGTGCACAGGGTCAAAAAAGGTCATAAAATCAGACACGTCTCGCTTAACGACTGACTGGTGCCCGTTGAACCCGTATGTTGACTTTTACCTGTACGGACAACAACCACGGTAGCTCCAGGACAAAGAAGTGGGTGGAGAAGAATGAGAGAAAAGCTTCACGAATTGGAGTTTCAGATTAATTCAATGAATTCAATCCAGGTGATACGATTTATGTCTCTTATGTGTCATAAATTCCCCTGCTGATCAGCGTAGCCAATTTCTGGTGCTGTTCCAGGAACCTCGCCCAAGATTTTTGGTAGGAACAAATTCCACAAATATAATTCATGGGCTGGCAAATGATTAATTGGACCGAGTTAAGAGTGTTGATACCTCAAGAACTAGCAAGGATCATGAGTGGGGGTGTTTTCTCTCTCTCTCTCTCTCTTTCTCTCTCTCACACTGTCTTTCTATCTTTCTCCCTCCCTTTGTCTTTCTCTTTCTCTCTCTCTCTTTCTCTCTCCACTCTCTCTCTTTTTTCTCTCTCTCTCTCTCATACACATACTCACAAACATCTCTCTCACTCACTCTCTAGCTCTCTCTCCCTCCCTTCCTCCTCCTCTTCTCTCTTTCTCTCTCACACACTCTCTCTTTCTCTTTCTATCTTTCTCACTTACTCTGCATCCCTCTCTCTCTCTCTCTCTCCCTCTCCCTCCCTCTCTTTTCCTATCTCCACTCTCTCTTTCTCTGCTCTCTCCTTTTCTCTCTCTTTCTCTCTCTCACTCTTTCTCTTTCTTTCTTTCTTTCTCCCTCCCTCCCTCTCCCTCCCTTTCTCCCTCTCTCCCTCTCTCTCTCTGACTATCTCTCTGTCTCTGTTTCTCTCTCTCTCTCTTTCTCTGTCTCTCTCTCACACTTTCTCTTTCTTTCTTTCTTTCTTTCTTTCTTTCTTTCTTTCTTTCTTTCTTTCTTTCTCCTTCCCTCCCTCCCTCTCCCTCCCTTTCTCCCTCTCTCCCTCTCTGACTATCACTCTGTCTCTGTTTCTCTCTCTCTTTCTCTGTCTCTCTCTCTCTCACTCTTTCTTTCTTTCTTTCTTTCTTTCTTTCTTTCTTTCTTTCTTTCTCCCTCCCTCCCTCCCTCCCTCCCTCCCTCCCTCTCCCTCCCTTTCTCTCTCCCTCCCTCTGTCTCTGTTTCTCTCTCTCTTTCTCTCTCTCTTTCTCTCTCTCTTTCTCTCTCTCTCTCTCTCTCTCTCTGTGTGTGTCTCTGTCTCCCTCTGTCTCTCTCTCTCTCTCTCTGGAACTTCTGTGCCACACAACAGGCTGCCCCACCTGGTGCATGGAGACTGTGATTCAACCACGTTCTGGCTTTTAAGAGGGGCCAGTTCTTCTCCTTACAGGAAGGCTGTACATTTATTTATGAATTCAATGCCGTTTTTGACATGTCGTGCCCCACTCTTGTATTTCAGCTAGTGCCACGGTAGTTGCTGCAGATGAGTGCGCAGCCCGGGGTTCTTGTTGCCGTGAGTTCAGAAGTTTATATAATCAGTCCACTTGGCTGGAATTAGCTGGCAGGAATTGGCAAGGTTTAAGACTGTACTAAACGATGGCGATGTTTATTTGCTTTCAACTTTAGGAAGGCGGCACTCCTTTCCCCCAGTGTGCAAGCCAGAAATCCTCAAATAAAGTCCCTCTTTATATCTTTGTGCATCGATAATCTCCGACAATCCTCCTCCCTTCTTAAATCTCATTTCACCATGGAGGTATGGACAAGCAAGAGTACCTTTCTTTAGGTCAAGGGTCTCCAACCTTGACAGCTTGAAGACTTCTGGACTTCAACTCCCAGAATTCCTGAGCTCACATGACTGGAGGAGGAATTCTGGGAGTTGAAGTCCACACGTCTTCAAGCTGTCAAAGTTAGAAGAGCCCTGCTGTAGGTACTCAGTTGCAACTTATTTAAAGTCAACCCCAAAGTGTTAAATCAAAAAGCAGAGTCCTTCATGCCTTAAAAACCAGGGATGGGGAATCGTGGCCCTTTTTACGATGTGTGGATTTTAATTCCCAGAATTCCTGAGCCAGTCTACAAGTCATAAAGGGGCTGTAATTCCTCATCCCCCCTAACAGCTTCTGGGTCTCAGGGACCATCAAGACACTGTATATCAGGATTAAATTGCTGATGTGGTCTTCTGCTTAGTTTTTATTCTTTTCTTCCCCGTTTAGAACCACTGCCACTACCAGGGATATGTCGAAGGCGACTCAAGGTCTATAGTTGCAATCAGCACCTGCTTCGGGCTCAGGTAACCAAGCCACCTGTTGGACTTGTTTGGTAGGGAAGAAGCTGACAAGCATTGGTCCAGAAGTGAATTACAGCTTTGAGCCTGCCTCCCCTTTCAAAAAACCCCTTGGTTGACTGGGGAAGGGAGTCAGCCTTGGCATCTACTCCGTTCTTTTACTTTTATGCCTTGGATCTGGATTTGGGGTGGATAGTCCGGGCCAGACCAGAATGGCGCAAATATCAGGTGTTGATGAATGTGACAGAAGCTGGTTTAGGTTCCAGAATAAAGTACTGTATTTTTTGCACTATAAGATACCCCAGACTATAAGACACACCTAGCTTTAGGGGAGGAAAACAAGGAAAAACCACAACTCTTTCTCTGCCTCCTGGCAATTTGCCTCCTTGCAGCAAACAGGAAACAGCCTGGTCAGCTTCAGCCTGATTTAGCACGAGCAGCTGATTGGCAGTTGGATCGGCTGCCCAGAATACCAATGATCAGCTGTTCCAGGCTGCGGGGATTGCCGCCGTCTATTGCTGCCTCTGCGCGTCTCATTTTTGGCTTTCGCGCATCGTGTTTTTGGCCCGTTCCAAGTGGCAGCACTGCTGCCTGGAAACGGGACGTGTGGAGGCTGAAAACGGGGCTCACAGAGGCCAAAAATGGGGCATGAAGAAGCGGCAATAGGTGGCGGCGGCGGCAATGGGCAGCAACAGCAGCGATAAGCAGTGGCGATCCCTGCAGCCTGGAACAGCTGAACATCAGTATTCCCGGAGGCTGATCCAACTGTCAATCAGTTGCTCGTGTTAAATCAGGCTGAAGCCGGAGAGCCTCCAGAGCCTCCAGGGAGGCCATTTTCACCCTCCCAGAGGCTTGAGGAAAGCCTCCGGAGTCCGTGGGAAACGGTTTTTGCCTTCCTGGAGGCTCGAGGAAAGTCTCCGGTGTCCGGGGGAAATGGTTTTTGCCTTCCTGGAGTCTCGAGGATAGCCTCCAGAGTCCGGGGGGAACCGTTTTCGCCTTCTGGAGTCTCGAGGAAAACCTCCGGAGTCTGGGGGAAACAGTTTTTGCCTTCCTGGAGTCTTGAGGATAGCCTCCGGAGTCCGGGGGAAACTGTTTTCGCTTTCCTGGAGGCTCGAGGAAAGCCTCCGGAGTCTGGGGGAAACGGTTTTCGCTTTCCTGGAGGCTTGAGGAAAGCCTCCGGAGTCTGGGGGAAACAGTTTTCGCCTTCCTGGAGGCTCGAGGAAAGCCTCTGGAGTCCAGGGGAAATGGTTTTTGCTTTTCTGGAGGCTCGAGGAAAGCCTCCGGAACCCAGGGAGGCCATTTTCACCCATCCCTCTCGCTTGGGAGATGAGGCTGATGCCTCCGTTGCTGTCATTGCCAGGGGCTTGGTGCAGATCCAGGACATCCCCTATGGAGTTGAGCCCATCAACGACACATTGCGCCATGCTGTTTACCGGATGGAGAACGTGAAGAAAGCGCCCGGGAACTGCGGCGTCTCTCATCCGGACAGGAAGCGGGAAAGCGGAGATGTTCGGCGCCATCAGAATGCGTCTCTAATGGCAAGAGTAGGTGCCCTTGGGAAAGGGTTTTGTTGTGTACGGTTTGCTCTTGGAAGGCATGGCGCTGTCATTTATTGATTTATTTTAAATTGCCCTCTTGGTTAAATTGAAGAGAAAAAGAAACAAAACAAATACATCAGTAAGTACTAGTATCAATACGTCTGCGTATGGAGAAAATATCTAGAAAGCACTGTACGTAACAGGCACGTTAGGCATGACTAGGTGATTTTGGACTTACAAGTGTCAAGCTCTCTAAGTTTGCTTGTTTTCTTTTAGACGTTTCATTGCCCAAACAAGGTAACATCATCACTAGCACTGATGAAGTTACCTAGTTGGGTAATGAAA